ATGCAGACAATGTAAATCAGAAGACTTGAGAGATCAGAGGCAGACAAAGCCGTACCTTTTACACTTGAGCAGCTGTCAGTAAGAACAGAGACCAAACAGCAGCTCGCCAACTACTTTGCTTCCCTCTTGGCAGGCTTGGGTCTGCTCTCTGCTCTCCTCCTGTGTTTCTGCACTGCCTAGTGTGTGAGTGGAGAGATTATGCGTGCTGAGTAGTTTGAGTGTCTGAGAGGGCCTCTGTAGGGCTGGGTTTAAGGATCTGGAGAGGGCTGGAGTGTTTCAATAGAAGCCCTCTAAGCCACTGTGTAGTGTTGTGGAGCTTATTTTGCTTCAGTGTTACTAGTCAGGTGGATTTTGTTTTTTTTAGGTTCCATTTCACTTCACAAAAATTGGTTGAGGATGAATTGGTCTGGCTGGTCTTAAGTAGGAGCATGGCTGTGTCTTAACCTTAACTTAAAGTGAAGACCCAGCTGGCATTGTAGCAACTAAAAGCTTTATACCTCCTTTGAGAGAGCTGTGTCTTGCGAGTCAAGCTGGCCAAACTTCTGTCATCATACGTTTTGACAAAATCCTCCCAGAAACAGATTGCATCATATATTAAGAAATTGGGACCGTAGAAGTTTCCTACCAACATAGAGCTTTGATTTAAATGACTGGTTGTTGCACCTTAATAGTCTTAAGAGACTTAAGAGTCTTGGACCCAAATAAAACTGTTCTCAGTGTCACCCTGACTTGAATCATTACTACAATTAAACCACCCTGCAGTTCCCTGAAGCCTCTGTTCTCTGACCTAATTTGTTTTTGCAGAGTATTTTATTAAGCTATGGATGGCAACCAGTGGCTTTAATCAGGGTTTCTTTCTCTGTGCCTTGCCCCATTATTACAACTAATGCGGATAAGGCAGCAACATTACAGAAACTAACTTATGTAATGTATTCTTGAACAAATGTGCTGTTAAAGTGCACAGAGTTAACGATTTATTAGAACTTTCTTTGTATCAGGTTGCGCTGGTGTAACCTCTTTTGAGGTCATAATTAGTTGTCTTATAATATGTGATGCTATCAAGTGCAACACCACCACTAATTGCAGGATACAAAAGCTTCCTGTAATCCATTACAGTTACATAAAAAAGATGTAATCCGATTCGTTACCGTTTAAAAAAAAAAATAAAATAAAGGGGGATTATTAGCAGGATCACAAAGAATGATATACTACCATGCATGACTTAACGAGTCTCACAATGGTCACGGGTCTCATAGCTCATCTTACAGTTGCCAGTTCATTATCATGGCCTCTGGTGGAAAATAAATGCTTTTGCTGGGTGTAAATGTCACCATTAATTTGTCTTTAAAGCAGAAAGGGAACAACATCACAGTACAGTAAAGCTTTGCCTTCCAGCTGTGAGAATGGCATGTAGGCTTTTAAAGTACGTTGAGCAGAAGAGACATTTGTGATGCTAAAAATCTTGTGAATCTTGTTTTCTGAGAATTGTTCTGTTGTCTCAGAGAATACACATCATCTTATTGATATTGATTTATTTTTTCTTGTCTTCTTTGTAACAGAAAGTAATAAAGTTAAGTTGCTTTTAATATTGAGATACTTGGATGAGGTTACTGACCCTACAAATCCTGATGAAATGACCAGAGTTGACTCCAACAGTCAAACATATGATTTATTCCAGTGCTGTTGTGTTGCAGCCGTGTGATTTAACTCGTTCAAACGTCGGATTTTCTGTTTCAGCCTCATGTGGTAGCTGCTACTCCTTTGCCACCATGGGAATGCTGGAAGCTCGCGTTCGAATCCTCACCAACAACAGCGAGGCTCCCATCCTCAGCCCGCAGCAAGTGGTCTCCTGTTCTGAGTATTCTCAAGGTAAATTAACTCTCAATCTAAAATCCATCTTGTTTCCTGACCATATCAGTTCATTTTATATTACAATTTGATGCAGGTTATTGCAGATATGAATTATTGGGCAGCAGCTAGAATATGTATTTGGTAGATTACTCATACTGTGAGACACAATCATAGAAAAGTGCCGTAGTGCTGGATGTAGAAAACTCTGGGTGCTTAAGTGTTCTTTGGAAAGTGTATCCTAACTGTCTTTAGAAAGTCCAGCATTTCATAATTGGCCTGATTAGCACATTGTCACTAATTATTTTGAAGAGTCCTGGAAAATATTTTTTCCATCTAGGACCACGTAAGAGATTTCACCCTGTAAGAAAGTCAAGACAACTTCCCCAAAATATGTCTTTAATAATGAGAATTCAGAATTTTATACCTATTTAACATTCATCTCTCCTCTTTAAGGTTGTGATGGTGGATTTCCATACCTGATCGGGAAGTATGCGCAGGATTTCGGCCTTGTGGACGAATCATGCTTTCCATATATTGGCAGGGACTCTCCGTGTGGCCTTCCAAAAAACTGCGGCCGCATCTACACGGCAGAATACAAGTACGTTGGTGGATTCTACGGCGGCTGCAGTGAGATGGCCATGATGTTGGAACTGGTCAAGAATGGACCCATGGGAGTAGCCTTTGAGGTACAGCATCTGCTCACTGTTTCCAAACTGTGTGTGTGTGTGTATATATATATATATGATATATATATATATATATATATATATATATATATATATATATATATATATATATATATATATATATATATATATATATATATATATATATATATATATATATATATATGAGAGAGAGACCAAACTATCAGTATCACTGTCAGTGCGGCTTAAAGTTTCTGTTCAATTTAATCTGTTGTCAGAAATTGGCGTTTAATCCTTTATTTTAGTCAAATCTCTGCTTCTATGTCTTGAAATTAAATTTAACTAGTTGCCTCTTATCTACTTTTAAGTTAAATCTGTCTGCTTCTCCAAAAGCATCTGACAGATAAATCTAATAAGCGAAAGATATTCAGGAAATAAAAGTGTTTTTAGTTTAACACCAAAGAAAAGACATTTAAACATTCCTGTTTTCTATTGTGTGCAAAATAACATGTTTGGCAAATAGTTCAGTTAGTGAATGTCAACCACTTGTGGTCTTAATGGATAAAATAAAATAATTTTTTTATTTTTATTTTTTTCCTTATGAAATGTATTGTGTACTTTCTCCTTTACAGCTCTGCAGACCTTCTATTCCTTCCATGAATTTGACTTGTATTGTCCATATCCTTCCACAGGTCTACCCTGACTTTATGCACTACAAGGAGGGCATCTATCACCACACAGGCCTTGCAGACCCCTTCAATCCATTCGAGCTGACCAACCACGCTGTGCTGTTGGTGGGGTACGGCCGCTGCCACATGACCGGACAGAAGTACTGGATTGTCAAGAACAGCTGGGGCAACGGCTGGGGCGAGGACGGCTACTTCCGAATCCGCCGGGGAAGTGACGAGTGTGCCATCGAGAGCATCGCAGTCGCAGCCAGCCCCATCCCCAAACTGTAGAAGCTCAGGATGGGAGGAACGGGTGTTTTGATGAGTCTTGATAGTGCAACTTAGATTTATTTTTTTTTTCTTCATGTAGCTTAATTGTTTTCAAGCCAAAATCTGTTATTTTTCACAGCAGGTGACATCATATGTGACATTGGGAAGAGCTTGTCTGTTGTCCATAATCCAACTAGCAGAACATTAATTAGATTGTCCCAGTTGCGGATTACTCTGTTAAAGTTCATCATTCAGAGACTGTAGATGTAGTGAACGTTTGCAACTATCAGCCTACGTTAATTATAAGCGTGAAAGGAACACAAAGTCTGCCAGTCTACCACGTTGCTGTAATGTTTCCTGATTTCAACAATCACCGATTAGCTGCCTAATGACTGATTTCACTCAAGCTGTTACTGCCGATATAAACACGGAATCACAATGGATTGGTACATACTGTGACAAATCATGGTTCGTAGCTTCTGATTGTAACATTTAAAGGGAACTGACAACTAAAAAGAGATGGTGTTTTGCAGGACCTTGATTCTTTCTCTCAGGGAAGCACAGTGGAGAACTAATATCTTCTCTCCTGTGCATCACATTGAAACCATACCATGTTTCCCTGTGGAGCATTTTTAAAGGGATTTCTTAATCAATTTTAAAAAAAGGGATCTAACTGATTGTTCCTTGTGCCTTTATTCTGCCTCCCTCTCAGTGTTTTCATTGTATTATGAGATTTTTGCACTATTTTTATTTTTACATTTTATTTGATGGAATAAAAGCTTTATAAAATTGCCTTATGTTTTGTTTTACTGTAAAAAGATGGAACACAATTTAAATTTCTTTGGGATCTTTGATTTTAGTGTTTTTTTAAATTTTTGGTTGGAGCTGATCAGCAGTTTTATTTCTAGCAAAGATTCAAACGATTTAAAAAAAAAAAAAAAAAAGGGGGAAATGAGCCAACACTATGAGTGGTGAAGACATGATGTACAGAAAAGTTGACAATTTACAGGCTCAAGATCCTTTATGAGTGAGTAAATCTTAGTTTAGTTTTCATATTTAACTTGATCAAAGTGACTTGTGGCTCTGACTTAAAGTGCTAGAAGTACACTTACTCAAGTACTACAGTTACTACATGTACGAGGGAAATGGTTTTTATTTTACTTTTTACTCTACATTTATTTGCTGACTATAGTTAATTTGCAAATTCAGATCTTGCACACAAAACATCATGATCTTATAAAACATGTTTTTTTTTAAAATCAATGAAACTACTTAATAGTATATAAAATAGTTAAAAACGTTCAAACTCGACATTAAAATGTAGTTCAATTCATTAAGTATTATAATGAGATGCATAATTAGTAGTCTCCTTTTACTTTTAATACTTTAAGTACATTTTAGTCAGTAACTTTACTTAAATCCCATTTTCATTCAAGGTAAGTAATCTAAATACTTGTCCCACCACTTTTGGCTGATTTGATAAGAACCCAGTGTTTATGCTCTCCTGCTTGGAGGTTTAAAATCCTACCCAGTGGCACTCCCAGGCAGCTCCTCTGTGAGTCACAAGGTCCAGACGTCTCTGCTCCACTTCCCTCTGTGGGCCAGGGCGTACCTCACCTCCCCTTCTCTCATTCTCAACACTCTCCAGTTCTCTCTGCGCTGTCCTGAGCTTCTGCCCTTTCATCCCCCGGCCGTCTCCATTACGGTGGATTCATGCTCAGCTCTCGCCCTACTCGGTCGCCATGCAGAACAACCACCAAAAGGAGCACCTCTATAAGATTCTTGTAATAGGGGACCTCGGGGTCGGCAAGACCAGCATCATCAAGCGGTATGTGCATCACAACTTTAGCCCCAACTACCGAGCCACCATCGGGGTGGACTTCGCACTTAAAGTCCTCAACTGGGACCAGGAGACGGTGCGCCTGCAGCTGTGGGACATTGCAGGTACAGTCCAACTTTTTACGCACAGGCTCTCGTGTGGAAGCAGGTCCACAGAGGGGCAAACAAATATGGGGCACTATGGAAAGTTTTATAAGAAATTTGAAATTCCCTTCATAATGTGGTTTCTTTTATTTCCTTTGACTTAAACTTTATACATTTTTTTTTTTTTTTTAAGTGAGCCACAACCATAAATCATAAATACTATACATTTAAAGGGTTTCCCATGACAGGACACATTGTCAGAACAGATTAATATTAGTTTATTGGTTAAAATTCTTAATACATTTGTCCTTTGGTTTTTTTTGACGGAGCTGAAAATGGAAAATACAATTAAATAAATGCATTATATCTATTGGAAATGGCATTTTCAGTCAAATCAGCTGAAGGTTACATTTATAAGTGCATTGATGTTAGTGGCAAGCTACAGTGCTGGAGGAAATTGTGGTTATAATTATGTTTTGTTGAATGAATCTGCTCCACACTATCACAGTGAAGGAGTTATTATGAAAATCAATTTTCCCATCCTTAATGAATGTCATTGTAGGTTAGTGACAACACTTTCCAAATAATTAAATATTCATCAGAGTTCAGCTGCTCAAATGGAAATTAAAGACTTTTTACTTCAGGGAAGGCAACAAGTTATTTAGAGTCAGAGAGTGTACTGAGGTATTGTGTATTTTAGATGTACAGATAGTTTGAGAATGAAGCATGAGACCATTTTGTCAAGGTTATCCAGGGTTAATGTACCTCATGTGTACCAGCAGACCTGTTGGCATCAAATCACTTGGCAACGCATTTCTACAATTACATGTTTCTAATTTTTTGCGTTCACGAGGAACACACACACACACACACACACACACACACACACACACACACACACACACCTCACACACACACACACAGACCCAATCCAGAGTCATGAGCAAGGTTTTCTCTCACGTGCCAAGATCATAAATTAATTATGAATATTATTATATATATATTGATTGATTGCTGCTTAATTCAGTTAGGCAGTACAGTGGTATCTAAGTTGTTTTTATGATTTAAAAGGATAAAATTGAATTCATGGTGTAATTTAGAATAAAATAAACTTACTTTTCATCTTGAGTGTCACATGACTTTATACAAGAGCATCATGACACCACATGCCATAACAGAAAGCAACCATGGCAACAGCCAGCCATTATGATTGTATTCTGGTTCATCAGGTTCATGAGTTTGAACCACTCCATCAACTGGATGATTGGGCCCAATTTTCACCAATTTACAACCAAAAAGGGCAGTTTCAGCTTATCAGATCAAACACTAGTTAATGTTAATTATATCCTTGTTGTGATTTTATGATTTTTCTTCTTATAAATAACCATGTAATTGAATTGCATATTCATTCATTCATCCATTCATACAAATATAAACACATTTATTTACTGCAGCAGAAATATTCCTTTTTTGTTGATTCTGTGGCCTCATGCACAAAAGCAGTAGTGTTCCCACCACCTCATTTAATTGATTTCAAAAGAAATTCAATAAGACCCGGTGACAGCCGTTAAGAATAACTGCAGAAATTGACAATAATCTCGCTGATAGTGTGGTGTGCTTATGTAGGTCATATAAAGGCATCAGTATTGAACGGATACTGTTTCATAACCAGTTAAAAACTCCTTCTAGTAAGTTTAATAAGTAACGGTAATTCTATGTTGCCCCTTGTGGTGACTCCCCTCCTCTTGTGTGTTCTGTTTGTCATTCCTCACCTGTATGATAATCATTTCTTTTTGTATTTTGTATGCACTTAATGGGGTTTAGATATGACTTCACTCTCGTACTTATTTCGTACTTGGAGAGAGTTATGAGATAATCAAAATGAGAAATTCTAAAATATTTTCCTCTGACAGTACTTAATGCTTTGGGTTGCCTTTGGCGGACACAGAAATCAGAGATAATAAAGGCTTTTGACTGTGATACTGTTGGGTAAGATAACAAACCTAAAGGCTACAGCAGTCTCATCTCACATGAGTGTCGGCTGAGGTTTAGAAGAATCCTCTGACCTGCTGCTTTCTCCCCTCCTGTGCGCCCTCTCCAGTAAGTGCAAGCAGTCATGTGTTTCAAACTCATGTGAGGGAGATTTGAGGCCCGAGCTCTTGTGTATAGAAAGCTTTTATTGTGAGTGAAGGATGAGTGTCTCCCTCAGAGAAAGCTGCTATAGGTCTGTACTGTATGTGCTCCTCCCTGCACGCGTTCCTTAACTTATGGAAGCCGTCAGGTGGGAAGTCCTAAACTGTTAGTTCTGCATAGGATGAACGCTCTCCATTGTAGTATTAAATGGGTTCTCTATTTGGATCATATCTGAAGATTAAGTCAAATTAACAGGCTGGTTACAAAGCAAACATGATTATCTATTTTAAAGTAATTATTTTTGCCTCTGGCATTTATAAGTCACGTCCAAAAACAACACCATGTTCTTGGTTTTGCATTTGACTTTATCCGGCACTGTGGGTTCGTTTGGGGATTTGATGATGGGCTGAAGTTTTTCTCATGCCACAGACGTAATAAATCACTTGCTGTTTCTGTGCATTTCCCAAGACAAATAATAACTTCCTATTTTTGGCTGCCATTTTTCTATGGCCTGGGTTGACAGAGTGACAGGGGTGGCTGCTCAGGCATATAGCTTGAAGATATGAGGGAGGCTGGTAGGGCTTATTGGAGGGGTTTTATATGCACATCAGCATTTTGAACTCACAGACATGTATACACATGTTGAGCTCTAGAAGTCTGTGGCTGCAGATGCAGAACTCCAGATGTTTTGGGCTACTGCTCAACTTCATCTCCACTGAATTATTACCACATTTCATCTGTATTAATGAAGCACACATACTTTTTACAAGGCCCTGAATAACTACTTTCTCAATCAGATTCTTACTATGAACACTGAGTTCATAAGGTAACAATCATTTTACAGCCAAAGTTAGATAATTTAGGTTAGGTTTAGGTTTTTGTCTGTGTTTTTCTTTCACTGGTTTGAGTTTGGAAGGACTGACCAATCAGGATTTAACATTTGAATCAAAATGTGATGACAGTATGGTTTCTCATGTGGCCAAACCACTGTCAGTCAAATCTGACCAGATCAACTGTTAATCTCATAAATAATACATAATGTTATGAGGAATACTTAAAGGTCCAGTATATAGGATCTAGTGGCATCTAAACATTTGAAAAACAAGAACAGCCCTATCTAGAGTCAGTGTTTCGTTTGTCTGTTCTGGGCTAGGTAGAAACATGGCGGACTCTATGGAAGGCGACCCTTGGAGTCTTTAGATAAAAAAAGATTCATTCTAAGGTATTGAAAACACACCTATGAATATTATATTCCATTTCTGCCAATAGATCCTCCTAAATGTTACACACTGGACCTTTAAGATCTGAAACTGATGTTTTGGTGGGGCTTGAAAACATCTTTTATAATGTCATTGCCCAAAAGACACTAGTATGTTTGAGTTGGCTTACACAGAACGCTGGAAACATGGTGGTGTACAGTAAGAATGTACTACGATACTGCTTAATGTGAGAGGTACTTCCCCTTTTATACTTTGTCCTTGAACAAGACATCCCACCCTCACACCCCAGCTGGTCTGCAACTGACCCTGTGCTCGATCCACCTGTGCAGGAGAGCAGGGGAACAAAAAAATGTTCCTCAACACAGCAGCTTGTAAATTAATACTAACTCCTCTCCTCTTCACCACAATGGAAACTGTTTTTGGAAGGGCCAGTTTAAGTGTTTGGTTAGTCTGCAGAGAAAAAATGTTGATACTTGGTACTGATGGAGCTCTAGCAGAAGTTATGGATGGGAAAATTAATGTGAATACAACATTCCAACAGGGCTTATCGAATTAATTTTACTCTCTGGAATTTCTACAGGCAAGTTTCACAGGGCGTAGCGCACACACATCAAACACATCTCTCTCCTCCTCCCATCCTGCTTCTATCCGGAACCTTATCTCTCTTTTTCCGCTACTTTTTTAACAGTAAAAAACATGCATGTAATTTTTGTGTGTGTGTGTATTTGAGAGAGTGGGTGAAGAGGTATGTCGGGAATGCTGGTGTGGTAGCACATATAAAATGTGAATATGAAAATATATGTGATAAAATGAGTAAATCGGATGACTCCAATTCAAGCCTCTGTGTCTGTTTGCTGCTGAAGTGACACTGCATCTTTTGCAGTGTGTGGCTGATCTCCCTGTAAAGGGGCACAAAATGGAAAGATGAATTTCTTTTTGTGCATCAATACGTAAACGTTTGTACACCTTTACGCTGGTACCAACAGATAGTAATTTTCTTTGCGTGTGTACATGTATGTCCTTGTCTGTGTGTGTCTTCTAGGTCAGGAAAGGTTTGGCAACATGACCCGTGTGTACTACCGCGAGGCCATGGGCGCCTTCATCGTGTTTGACGTCACGAGGCCCGCCTCCTTTGAGGCCATCACCAAATGGAAGGAGGACCTGGATTCCAAACTGACACTTGCCAATGGGAAACATGTAGCCACTGTGCTTCTGGCTAATAAATGTGACCAGGGTCGGGACGTACTGACTAATAATGGAATAAAGATGGAGCAGTTCTGCCAGGACAACGGCTTTGTGGGGTGGTTTGAGACCTCTGCTAAGGTGAGAAAGATATGACACAAACACACTCACATAAATACAAAGCAGAGACGTAGCTAGCAGAATGGTGCTGTGAATACAAAGCACAGCCTTTAACAGGAGCTCTGAGGTTCAAGCCCCTGTGTCTACAGGCGTGTCCTTGTTCAGATGTCCTTGAGAAGCAGCTGACTGCCTACCAGCTCAACCGTGTCAGACCCAGCACCTGATTACCCTGTGGAGATGCCACCACAGAGGCACATTCAGGATGTGAAGGAATCCTTTAAAGGTGCTGAGTTTAACAGACTCTCAGTCTACTCAGTATTTGCATATGAATAAAACCTCAGTCAATGAGCTCTGTTGGTTTTTGGCAGAACTAAGGTGTTTCAGGTGAGCTGCACTTGCATCAGGTGCTCTATCATCCAAACAGGATGTCCAGGAATGTTGAGGGAAGATATCAGTCCTACGCTTTTCTACACAGATATTAAAGGAATAGTGGAGGCTTTTTGGAAGTAACGTTTAATTGATTCCTTGCCCAGAGTAAGATGAGACGATTGATACCACTCTCATGTCTGTTTGTTAAAGGTGGGGTAAGTCATTCTGGAGAGGCCATCAAATACACTTCAAGACACTTTGTTTGTCTCCCATTTACCATAACCCAAAGCGTCTGTATTTGACTACCTGGGAATGAGACTTTCTCCAGAATGACTGACCCCACCTTCAAATATGAAGCTGGAGCCAGGAGACAGTTAGTTTAGGTTAGGATAAAGACAAATGGTGGTTTGCCTGGTGTTCCAAAGATAAAAATTTAACTGATATGTACTGCAGATACAGCCATAACAAGTGGTTCAGTACATTTCCTGAGGTAAGAAAAAACTTGTTTTTCGGAGATCAGTTAAAAACAGATGCCACTGTTCATATTCCAATCTAAATCGTGTGTTTTATTTAAACAGGCACCTAAAGTATTTCATATTTATATATGTGTTACTACCGGTATTTATGTTTGTATGCATGTTGCTAATTTAAGTGCACCTAAAAGCTATGTAACCTTTATGGTCTGAATTGGACACAAAGTAGACATATAAACACAGACACACAGAAAAAACAGAAAATATGAAACACAAATATGAAACTTTATAAAACCTTTTAAAGCTTGAACAAACTTACAAGTACAGTATATTTCAAGACTCACTGATGCAGACAGGAATGAAAGAATGTGGTTAGTGAATTCTGACAGTGAGGTGAGCTGAGGATTCACCCACCCACACACTAACACACTGAGACCAGCACAAGCCCTGATTATAGCATCTAATGTGGAGCAGGAATCTTACAGCTGGATGATAAGGCAGGAAAATAGACAGAGACGTGCAAACACACACACATTCATAGACACACACACACACACACACACACACACACACACACACACACACACACACACACACACACCCTAAGGCATCCATATACACTGCAAAAATTGCATTCAAACCCAACCAAAATTGAAACACTCTCGAGTTCAGAGCTGTATATAAAAAAATTTGATTTTACTCGCTGTCGCTTTGTTTTGTTCCATTGCACTACAGCTGTAGGAGGTGAACAGCTGCAACAGCGTGACAACAGAAAGTCCTCTTACTATGGCAGTGCAATCGTCTTTTGTTATTTTATTAATACAAAATAGTCTAGAGATTTGAATCTGCTACGTACAAAAGTAACTGACATTCATGTTGTTACATGTGCAAGATTTATTAATTCAAATAAGTAAAAAGTAATAATAATAATAATAATTTCCTAGGTCTAAACCAAAAACACTTTCTCTTCAAACACTTAACTTTGTATTAAATTTAAATGAAATGTGTTAAATAGTTTATGAGATATTCATCTGAATAACAAATAAACAGGTGGTGGAGGTAACTGTAAATAGTGACGATCAACAATAATTGGTTAGGATAGATTGAGGATTTAAGCTGTTGAAATCAAGAAAGTAAAGCAGTAGAAGGAATTGAAAAGCCTGACTTAAAAGCAACACAACCAGTCATATGAGAGTTTAAAAAAAACATACATGGTATGTGGGAGCTGGTATGTGAGTCCACTGCAGAGCCTGAAGCCCATACAGTGCTTTGTTTGGAGTTAGTTTTCGAAAAAAAACCCTGCCAAAATGTTTTCCAGCAGCAGGTGTGTAGCCATTTTTGCAGCGAGACATGTCATATTTCTAACCGAAAATATAAATAGTAATAAACCATGAATATTAAACAATGTAATTTGCAAAAGAATGCATTCAGTTTCCCTTTGAGCTGCATGAGTTAGAGTCAGAATATATCAGGGTGAGGACTGACGTACTCTGAGCCCACTGCCAAATAACCTGCCAGAAGAATTATTTCAAACTTATATCTTAAACAACGCTGGACACTCTCTGCATGCACAACAATGTACAATATGAAAGATGTGAAGAGTAGTGAAGGTACTCTTTGCACTTAAGGTGTTTTTTGTTGCGTTTTATTTTGATTTGGAAGAATCTTTCGTTCCACATCTAACAGTAAATATGATAGATCACAACATGGCACACAGAGGGGTTTGCATGTGTGTGTGTGTGTGTGTGTGTGTGTGTGTGTGTGTGTGTGTGTGTGTGTGTGTGTGTGTGTGTGTGTGTGTGTGTGTGTGTGTGTGTGTGTGTGATCTAATGAATATTTAGTATTTCTACTGCTGCTGCATCACGCTTCACATATTAAGAAAGTGTGTGCATGTGTGTGTCTCTCTTATCAATACTTGCTGTTGTTGCTCTCCCTGTGTGAACCTCACTTTAACACCCAGGCACATTTGTCTAGTTTACTCAGCTTTCAGCTCTGGTCCAAGTTGCTCTAAATCTTTTGTATTTGTAATTGTTTGGGTGCTGTCAGGAATGGACATTTGGTATTTTTTTATGGGTAGACTGTAAATCAGGCAAGACAAGTTTGCCAGAATTATCTTTTAGCTTTATAATGTTGGCTTTAATAATTTAATAAATTGGCTTCCTGGTGGCCAAGTTGTGTAAGATCTTTGTTGCATGTCATTCCCCTCTCTGCACCCTGCTTCCTGTCTGTATCCAATTAAAGCTAAATACCCTCAACATAACCTTTGATGAGCGCATAATAAAAACACAGAAAGAAATGCTATGCAAAAATGTACCAAATTCAAATTTACAATATGAATAGAATAGAATGAGCTGCTCTTAAACCTTTATTTCTCTCTTAATTAGACATAAATTATTCTGTTGTTAGTGCTGCTTATTTAAAACATTACATTAACTATATTTTGTGGACACAGCTTTCATTCTCTCCTGTTAACATCAGCTGTCACAGAAAACACACTCTTTTGATGTTTGTACTTTTGGTGCTTTTTCTTTTGGCAACTCCCACCCTTGGATTCATTATCCAATAGATTTGAAATCCTGTCATGAAAATTGTACGCCTGCTCTAGCCTCTAGGCTCACGTCTCTGTCCATTTTGACTCTGATGAAGACACAGCAGTGTCGAAATGTTAGTCTGTTTGCACAGTTAAAGGTTGTGGATTAATCAGTGTGCTCCAGCCCTTCTTTGGCCCTCTGGAAGTTTGCTGTGAATTTAGAAGCACCTGAGACACAGAGAACCCTGTTTGTACTTTATTTTTAGGTTTTTTGCTTCTCTGAGAGCATTCTTGGCAAAGCCTGGTTCACACTGCCTACCTGGGCACCGCATGACGGCTATGGCGCTGAACAACTACGTAAATGTAGTCCATTACAATTACAGAAAAGGTTTTTTTTATCAGATTACAGTTACATTTAGTAAAAGTGGGGATTACTAGTAATTTTTCATTCATTTTATTGTCTGCAAGAGCATGTATTCTTAGAATAACTTTTAATATTGTACATGTACAGCAGATATACTTTACAAACGTCAAACTATTTTTGTTTACATTCTGCATTTCCTGCAATCCAATGCTATTATTTAAATCATCAATTCAAGAATTTCACACGATTGACTCCTCACAGTGTGTTTTCCTCCAGTGCTGTATGTTTGTGCATAAATGAGGGATAATGTTGTAGTATGTGTGTTTGTGTTCACATCATGGCAGCTGGCTGGTGCATCATCCATCCACACAGTTTAGTTATGGTCTATTTGACTCACTCACCTGCTCTCACAGCTTTTTCTTGCAGTGCTTGTTTTATTCCTTTCATAAAATGTTTTGCATTAATCGATTTATCCCTCCTCCTCTCTCTTTTTCTCTCCACCTTTTCACACTCCCATCTCTCTTTCTATGCTTCACTCTTTCCTCTCATTTTCAGGAAAACATCAACATCGACGAAGCAGCAAACTGCTTGGTGAAACACATCATTGCCAGTGAGAATGACATGCTCCAGTCAGAAGTCCCCGACACCATCACCCCCCAGTTAGAGAAGGACAAAGGGGGGACATGCTCTTCTTGCTTCAGATCCCAGTAACAGCCCCTGACAGTTGGATGTCCTTTTGTATCTCATTACAACACAAAGTTGAGTTTGTCCGTGAGCAGGAGGCAGAGAGAGAACGACTTTGGCAATTTTTTTTGAAGCATGGGTGCCAATTCTTTTCCCGCCTGGTAGCTCGGGTGGGGGTGGGTGGGTGGGTGGTGGTGACAGAGAGGCATCTGGCTCAAGAAATAGATTTAGATTGAAACAGAGACAGAAAGAGAGAAAAGAGAGATGGATGCAGCTGTGTGAGCTTGTCAAAGGCAAGGTCACCCTCTGGGCGTCTTCAAGCCTTGACACTGCCACTTCGGTTACCATGGAGACACAGTTAATGAACACATGCACAGATAGACTGCCACAAATCACAGTATATCTGTGATAAAGGTCCATGGAGGTGATGTCTATTTACAAACCATGTTAGTTGACTCTCTTTCTCCTTCTTTCTCGGTTTCCTTCGTCTCCCTTCTTCAGTTTCTTGCTCACTCTTTGTCTGGATTTGCCTCTATACGTTTCTTTCTCCTCACCCCTCCCTGACAGCATTTTGAGTTTTTCTTTTGTCATTCTGTGTTGATAAGCAGGAAAAAAAGCACATTTATATCTCGTAATTCAATGGTTTTATATTAAATTTATATTCCACTGTTCAATATTTGTAATATTTGTAATTATGGGATAAATGCATATATATATATATATATATATATATATACACACAAACATGTACATATTATATACAATAAAATGAGACAGATTATAGAACCAAGGATGTATCCAGTTTTCAACATGTTCATATAAATAAACCATAGTTTTACTGACCTGTGCCTTTATGTGATTTTATGTTGTTTCTTCAAATGCATCCGAACACACCCACATGTTTTCAGTTATGCCACTCTACGCTGATTACACCTCTATTTCAGTCTCCATTGTCTCATTACATACACAGTCTATGCACATATTTTGTTACCCTCAAGTCTAACATCAGAAATTTTGATGGGGCTCCAGAGGAGAAAATATGAAATCTTTTTCTAAGCTTGTTCCCTGGTGTAATGAAAATCAAGCGTGTTTTCAGGTTGTGACCACATGACGCTTGTTTGAATCTCCCTGTTATTTCTCAGTTTGCCGTCTGTCTGCAGCCTTTTATTTCATAAAGCTTACGACACAGACTAAAAGCCAGTCTAAGATTTACTCTTGTCCTGGCCTTTATGTCCTCTTAGGTGTCTTCGCCTTTGCCATTAGCTTTGTCCATAGAAGCTGAGCCCAGTTACATTGCCCATAAACCTGGCTGCAGTTCTGGCATGACCATTGACCGTATATATAATGGACCGAGCTTCCGGGTCTGTGAAGTGAAGCCAACACATAAGTGTCTTAGTCCTGTGTTCTATATAAAGGCCAGCATGGGGAGCTCCATTGGCTGCCATAAAAAAATTATACCATGCACTCTAATGGAGAAATGACCGGACTTCTCACTTGATTTATTAGCTCAGTAAATACACTGAACAAAGTTATAAATGCAACACTTTTGTTTTTGCCCCCATTCATCATGAGCTGAACTCAAAGATCTAAGACTTTCTCTATGTACACAAAAGGCCTATTTCTCTCAAATATTGTTCACAATTCTGTCAAAATCTGTGTTAATGAGCACTTCTCCTTTGCCGAGATAATCCATCCACCTCACAGGTGTGGCATATCAAGATGCTGATCAGACAGCATGGATATTGCACAGGTGTGCCTGAGGCTGGCCACAATAAAAGGCCACTTGAAAATGTGCAGTTCCATCACACAGCACAATGCCACAGATGTTGCAAGTTTTGAGGGAGTGTGCAATTGGCACGCTGACTGCAGGAATGTCCACCAGAGCTGTTGCCCGTGAATTGAATGTTCATTTCTCTACCATAAGCCGTCTCCAAAGGCGTTTCAGAGAATTTGGCAGTACATCCAACCGGCCTCACAACCGCAGACCACGTGTAACCACACCAGCCCAGGACCTCCACATCCAGCATCTTCACCTCCAAGATCGTCTGAGACCAGCCATCCGGACAGCTGCTGCAACAATCGGTTTGCATAACCAAAGAATTTCTACACAAACTGTCCGGAACCGTCTCAGGGAAGCTCATCTGCATGCTTGTCGTCAAATGCTCACATTCGATGGCGTCTGGCACTTTGGAGAGGTGTTCTCTTCACGGATGAATCCCGGTTTTCACTGTACAGGACAGATGGCAGACGTGTGGGTGAGTGGTTTGCTGATGCCAACGTTGTGGATCGAATGGTCCATGGTGGCGCTTGGGTTATGGTATGGGCAGTGTTATGGACAACAAACACAGGTGCATTTTATTTATGGCATTTTGAATGCACAGAGATACTGTGACGAGATCCTGAGGCCCATTGTTGTGCCATTCATCCACGACCATCACCTCATGTTGCAGCATGATAATGCACGGCCCCATGTTGCAAGGATCTGTACACAATTCCTGGAAGCTGAAAACATCCCAGTTCTTGCATGGCCAGCACTACTCACAGCACCCATTAGCATGTTTGGGATGCCGATCGGCAACGACAGCATGTCCAGGTCCGCCAATCTCCAGCAACTCGCACACAAAGGAGGGACCAACATTCCACAGGCACAATCAACAACCTGATCAACTCTATGCAAGGAGATGTCCTGCGTGAGGCAAATGGTGGTCACACCAGATACTGATTGGTTTACGGACCCCCCCGGAGTCCCCCGGAGCCCCCCGGAGTCCCCCGGACCCCCCAACACAGTAAACTGCACATTTTCGAGTGGCCTTTTATTGTGGCCATCCTAAGGCACACCTGTGCAATACCCAGGCTGTCTGATCAGCATCTTGATATGCCACACCTGTGAGGTGGATGGATTATTTCGGCAAAGGAGAAGTGCTCACTAACACAGATTTTGACAGATTTGTGAACAATATTTGAGAGAAATAGGCCTTTTGTGTACATAGAGAAAGTCTTAGATCTTTGAGTTCAGCTCATGATGAATGGGGGCAAAAACAAAAGTGTTGTGTTTATAATTTTGTTCAGTGTAGTTTCCTATCGAATTTATGGTCTCAGTCACTGGTTTTGAGTCTTAAAACTAAATAAAATGAACATCATACTGTATGCATAAATTATGGTCCAGCTGAAAGTAAAACAGATTTAGCATAGATAGTATGCTTAAGGGTGTGGCTACATTGTGATTGTGACAAAATACAAATACTGAAAATTGTTTCAGAAACATATTTTAATGTACCAGGCATGTTTGTGACCAGGCAGGCCGCCATTGTTCCCGCTACCAACGAGTCAAAACTGCGCAGCCCATGGGAGCAGCTTAACTTGCAACGTCACCTCTGCTGGCTCCAACAAACTGTCATGCTGACAACCATAACGCCAAACTCGAGGCTTCAAAATAGTACTCTACAAACCAATGGGTGACGTCAAAATAGGTTCACACTTGGGCATGATGTCAGCGACTCGCTCAGTTACAATTCCCAGTCACGGGTTTCCAGTACAGCTAAGCTAACTATCTAACAACAGCTACATTTTGCAGCAGTTACTTTACTGTCCATCAGGAAACTCTGTAAATCACTGAGAGTTGAGATGGAGAAGCCAGAGGACATTGTTGGAAAACCAGAAAACATTTTCTCCATGAAATATTATCCAGTTTCACTAAAACCAGTGACATAGTAGGTAGTGTGCAACATACTACACTCACTTGTCTCGACCCGGAGCCCACAGTTATATAGTGCAAGAACAGGCGTACGAGTGCAATGTGGGAATTTTCGAAGCTGTTATTTTAAGGAAAGTTACATAATGGGGCTTTAAATCAATAAAAAGTTTTTTTTAAAAGCCTTATTATGACCCAAATTATCTTTTTCTGATTTGTCCCCAAAATTACATCATTATTGCTCGAAATGATAAATACATACTGGATTATTTTTGGAATGGTGTTCTAAAATCTGACAGCATCATATCGTTTTAAACAGATTTAGTCAAAGCATAATAAATTAAGGCAATTTAAACATCTTGTGGCACCGAACCACAGAATTTATTTCCAATGATATGCCTTTCTTTTCAAAGTATTTTGGGCTTGTCGACAAAAATTCATTCATTCCTCTTGCAAGAGCATTATTTTCTTCTGCTGTTTTTCTCACAGTATGTGTACCGATCACTCCCACTAATATGTTGGAAATCCGATTTCACAGTGAAAAAGGTCAGATTCCTGCATAATAGTTCTTGTTTGTTTGTTTTTTTCCCTGTGACCTGCCTCTGACCTGCCATGTGACTGTAGCCAGTCAGCACCGTACCTACCTTCCTAGGATGTTGTAGACGACCCATTGCACTGTATCTGAAAACATTTTTGAAGGTCATGAAATACCTAACCAATAATTTGTGATACTGATGATCAATGCTTTTAGACCAAAAGCATTTTGGTTGTCAGAGCGAAGAACATGTGAACCTGGGGTTGACTACATTGCCATAACTACATTTGTGAACATAAACAGTGACTCCAGATTACTATGACAAACTAAAAGCAATCACTCAAACATTACAGCTACATAAATTAGAAATACCTGTATATGCTTTTAAAATCCAGTAACCCTAAGTGTGTACATATGCTGTACTCAAACATTACTGTGCTGTTACCTTTTTCAGTCTTTCACTTCCACCAGTCCTCTCCTTTCTCCTTCCCTTAGACCGAAACTCTAATTATCGCCCTCTAAAGATAACATTTTGTGCCACGTTTAACACTGTGGTTCTTTTCATCCCAGGGACACAAAGACACTATCTGTTGTTTAGCACAGTCTCTGCCGGATATTGGTTTACAGGTGAGGGCATGTGCTGTTGAAAGACGTGTTGCTCTCTAATTTGTAATAATTGGATCTGATTTTCAGCATTGATGCAACAATTTGTGAGAGAAAACACAGGGCATAAGGCAAGAAGGGAGGTTATGCACAGACTGTAGAGTTATGTGGCAATTTTCCTCTGCTGTGTGTCAGAAGCTGAACCCCTTCTCTGTACACCCACACAGGCCCCCTCCTCACACACACACACACAAACACACACTGAAACACACGTACATACACAGATGATCAGAAGATTTCACAGATTTATCTCTCACTCTTTGCTGGTCTCTAAGGCA